AAATAATGGAGCAGAACTTAAGACGCTGCGAAACATTGTACACCAAAGCAGAGAAGAAGGGGGAAGTAATATCAGAGCTTGAAGTGGACATTCAAGCAAACGAGGTGAGCTTCTCTCATGAGTATTTTAGAAAGGATCCAGTCACGAAAATGGAATTCGAATACGATAACATACAAGAAAAATTAAAAATGCTCACCAAAAAGGCAAGTATAAAGGCGACAAACAACATCGAGCTGCCCAAAATAAAAATACCAACGTTCCGAAGTGGATATGACAATTGGGCTCCCTTCCACGATTTGTTCGAGAAATTAATACATTCCAACGAGAAGTTATCGAACGCGGAGAAGATGCACTATCTGAAGGGGCATGTGGACGGAGAAGCAGCAAGACTTATACAGCATCTAATGATCTCGGAACAAAATTACGTAACAGCATGGAAGATCCTTCAAAACAGGTATAATAACAAAAGATTAATGGTAAATACGTTATTAGATAGAATCCTGGAATTCTCGAAAATGGAAACAGCGAAGGCATCTCGATTGAAATGGCTTCACGATACCATACATGAGTGTCTGGAGACAATATCAAATCTGGGAATGGATACATCGTCATGGGGTCCAATGGTAATTAGAATCACCACAAAGAAATGGGACTCAGAAACCAACAGGCTATTTGAGCAGTCACTAAAACAACCAAATGAAATCCCAGCATTAGGAGAAGTGATGCAGTTCATGCAGACGAGGTTCCAGTCCTTGGAGGCATCGGGGTCAATGCAGAGCAAGGATGCGAGTCCTAGGTACACCTGGGGAAACACGTCCACCATATCATGCCATTACTGCCAACAGGAGCATCGACTTGAACAATGCCTTAAGTTCAAGGGGCTATCAATCAACGACAGAAACAAGGAAGTAAGAGAAAGAAAAATATGTTTTAGGTGTTTAAAACACAACAGCGAGGAAAAATGCTACTCAGCGTACAGGTGTGCAGAATGCGGTTATCCACATCACACTTTACTTCACCAACCGTACAAACCAATAGCAGAGCGGGCAACACAAGCAAGCACAAGAACATCACACACTACAGTATCTAAAAGGAATTGTCAAACCCAAAAGGAAAACCAGGAAGTACTACTAGCAACAGCGATAGTACAAGCACAAGACCTCACTGGCGTACAGCAATTATTAAGAGTACTAGTGGACCCTGGATCACAAGCCTCGTTCATCACAGAAAAGGCAGCACAGCAGTTGAAGCTACCACGACAAAAAGCGAATGCAAGGGTATCAGGAATAGGTGGTTATGATCACACTAACGCAAAAACCAAGATAACGGTTCAATTACATCCAAGACAACCAAGTGAGTATGAGTTAACAACAGAACTAATCATTCTCACAAAGATAACCGAAAATCTACCACTGGCGTCGTTTGAGATGAACAAAGATCCATGGAAGAATGTGCTGTTAGCTGATCCCACGCTGAATAACTCCGGACCAATTGACATACTACTGGGTGCCGAGGAATACGCAAAGATCATACTACCGGGAGTCATGAAAGAAGGAAAATTAGTGGGTCAACAAACCGAATTTGGGTGGGTGATATCCGGGCAAACAAAGCACGGTGTCAACCAAGGCTATCAAATACTGGGCATGGTATCAACAATGGAAGAAGAGACACAACTATCCAAATACTGGGAAATAGAAGAAGCGACCATGGCTAATGGGTTCAATGAAGAAGACAAGAAGTGCGAAGACCACTATAAGGCAAACACTACACGCAGCCCCGATGGAAGATACACAGTCAAGATTCCATTCAAGAAGAATTCGATCAAATGGGGGCGATCCAGACCACTAGCAATAGCCAGGTTGTTGCAACTGGAGAAAAAACTAGCAGCAAACGACAAGATGCGTGAAGAATACAACGCGTTTCTACAAGAATACCTGGATTTGGGTCACATGGAAATGGTACAGGCACACTCAATCGAGGGCACACGCTATTACATACCACACCAACCAGTGATAAAGGAATCCAGTACTACAACGAAGATGAGAGTGGTGTTTGATGCATCAGCCAAAACGACGACCAGCGGAAGTTTAAATGAGATGATGTATGTGGGACCGAGGTTGCAGCCAGACATAGCCGATATATTACTAAGATGGAGAAAACATCAATATGCGTTCACAGCAGATATTAAAAAGATGTACCGCCAAATAAGGATACATCAAGACGATCGCCAGTTCCAGACTATAGTATGGAGATTCGAACGTAATCAGCCGATACGCGAATACCAGCTCAACACAGTAACATATGGAACAGCGGCAGCTCCATACTTAGCCATAAAGACACTACAACAGTTAGCAGAAGACGAAAAAGAAGAGTATCCATACGCAGCACGAGTCACGCTACAAGACTTCTATGTGGACGACATTTTATCTGGTGCTAACAGCATACCTCAAGTAGTACAATTGCAAAAAGAATTAACCAATATGCTAAAAAAAGGAGGGTTCCAGCTACATAAATGGGCAGCCAATAAAGAAGAGATATTAACCACTATTCCCATGGAAGCTAGAGATCCTGCTGTAGCCGAGTTCAACAATGACGACCAGATCAAATCGTTGGGAATAAGATGGATACCAAACCAAGACATCTTTACGTTCAAATTCAAGGATGGCCAAGATAAACCAACCAAACGGAACATTTTGTCGGAAGTGGCCAAGATATTCGACCCTTTGGGTTGGCTGTCACCAATACTCCTAAATGCAAAATTACTCATACAAAGACTCTGGCTATCCAATACAGGCTGGGACGAAGAGGTGGCGGAATCAATCAAGATAGAATGGACAAACTTCAAAATCGATCTCAGTATGGTGGAATACTTACGGATACCTAGATGGATGCAGTACGATCAAGACCAAGAAAAAATAGAACTTCATGGGTTCTGTGATGCATCAGAAAAAGCGTATGGAGCAGTGGTGTACTCAAAAACAGGAAATGGGTGCATAAGTCTATTAATGTCAAAATCAAAAGTCGCCCCAGTACGAACCAGGCAAACGTTACCTAAATTAGAATTGTGTGCAGCAGTGCTACTAGCAAAGGTGCTAAAAAGAGTGACAGAAGCATTACAGATACCAAAAACAACAGTGTACGCGTGGACCGATTCCATGATCACACTCGCATGGATGAAAGGTGACGCAAACAAATGGAAAACCTTCGTGGGAAGTCGAGTGGCACAAATCACAAGCATGACCGCAAAAGAACAATGGAACCATGTGCGTACTAATGATAATCCTGCAGATCTGGTATCGCGAGGAACAACAACATCCAAATTAAAAAACAACACGTTATGGTGGAATGGACCCATATGGCTAAAAACAGATAAATGGAAACACAGTACAAGCGAATATCCTACAACAGAGGTAGAGAGCAAGAAAACTATGACAATAATAGTGAACAATAGGAACGAGCTAGCAGAAAGGTTTTCTTCACTAACACAACTAATTCGAGTGACAGCATACATCATTCGATTCATCAAGCATTGCAAAAAAATTACAGTAGCTGACGAACATTTAACAGTAGAAGAACTCAATACGGCATTAAAGAAACATATACAAGTAACACAACAGAATACATATCCAAGGGAAATACAAAAGTTAAGTAAGAAAGAACAAGTACACAAGGACAGCAAGTTAGAATCGCTCAATCCGTTTCAAGATGAAGACAGTTTACTTAGGGTAGGAGGGAGGTTACGCAATTCTTACTTATCATACAACGAAAAACATCCATACATTCTACCAGCAAACAGCCATCTAACACGACTACTGATTTTGGATGCACATCAAAAAACATTACATGGAGGTCTTCAAATAACATTAGCATATTTAAGAAGAAAATATTGGATTATCACCGGTAGAAGAACAGTTCGAGAAATCATCAACAAGTGCAATACATGCATAAGACATAAGGGACAAACATTACATCAAATAATGGGAGATCTGCCAGCATCCAGAATAACACCATCATCACCGTTCGAACATTGTGGAATTGACTATGCCGGTCCCATACAAGTAAGAGCATGGAAAGGCAGAGGCCATAAATCATACAAAGGATACATTGCAGTGTTTGTATGTCTAGCAACAAGAGCGATTCATTTAGAAGTTGTTAGTGACATGACATCGGAAACATTCATCGCGGCTTTCAGAAGATTTTCAGCAAGACGAGGTGGTTGCCAACACATATACAGCGACAACGGCACCAACTTCGTCGGAGCCAGCAATATGATACAGCAAGAAATTCAACAAATAGTACACAGTAGAGAAGTGCAAGAAACATCGGTGTCAACTGGAACTCAATGGCATTTCATTCCCCCAGCAAGTCCACATATGGGAGGAATTTGGGAAAGTGGAGTTAAGTCCTTAAAACACCATTTAAGAAGAGTAATTGGGGAATCAACACTTACATATGAAGAATTAACTACATTAACTCATCAAATCGAAGCGTGCTTAAATTCAAGACCAATAGGAAAGTCCAGTGATGTAGTAGACGGAGGTACAACACTAACACCCGGTCACTTTCTAAGAGGAAAACCAATAATAGAACCATTCGCGAAATCATCAGGTACAATAGAACTCAACTTAAGCAACAGATGGAAAATGGTACAAAACATGAAGAAACAATTCTGGAAAGCATGGACGACGGATTATTTGCATAATTTACAACAACGCTATAAATGGAAAACAAAAGAAGACAATCCAAAGATAAATGATGTATAGTACTCATCAAAGAGGACAACTTGAGTCCAGGGAAATGGCCACTTGCAAAAATCAAAGAATTACATCCATCAGAAGACGGCACTGTACGCATTGTTACCATCCAGAAGGCAGATGGGAAAGCATCAAAAAGGAGTATTCATCAACTAATACCAATCACGACAGAAGAAGGTAACACCGCAGAAAAAAATCAAACAGCAACATCACAACAACACGCATATGGATGCAATCTGAAAACATTCGTTATAAGCATACTAATGCTATTGGTCACAGTAACAGCAGAATACAATATTACATATCCAAAGCCAGGTTTCTACATTGAACACATGGGAGAAGTTCAAATTGAAAGAGGTATATTCCGAATCGATCTACAATACAACAAATCACGAATCAAAGAGGATATAAACGCAGCATTTCTAACGACTAGTAATTTCAAAGAGTTGTGCAAGAACGCAACAGAAATGACAGAAAACGTACAATGTACAGAATTGGTGCAACATATCGAGGATCAAGAAAATCAATTGAGATGGGTACAAGAGGGAATCAACTACATAAGTCAAACTCGTAAAAAAAGAGGTATCTTGGGGAATATATTAACGGCGATATTCGGTGTGAATGACGAAGTATACAAGGACATTGATGCGTTAAACAAGAATCAGCAAGAGTTAATGCGGAATTCAGAAAGACAATCCAAAATAATGTTGTCTACTATATCAAAATTTAAAGAGACAGAAAACCGCATCGAGAAGCAATTAGAGCGCTTCAACACTAAATTAAATGAAGCGATAAAAGCCATAAACCAGATGCAGAAATGGTATAAAACAATAGACGAAAACAGACTAAATATTCACATCTTAAGTACATATCAAACTAGCAGTGAATCTAGTAACAGAAGTACACAATCACTACAGCAAAATAAGAAACATCCACTACAACCAAGGGAACTTTCAAGAACTTATATCAGAAACCCACATCAGAAGTATTATTACATCGGCAGAGCAGAAATTACCAAGCATCCTCAAGATTTTACCACATCCAATAATCAAAGTAACTACAAAACAAACAGTGGAAGTGATTCATGTGTTCGGGTTTTTTCTGGTGGCAGAGATCACGGTATACGTGATTATGAAAGTCACCCCAATTCCTATAAAAATTGAAAATTCTACGTTTTGGACCTTAAATGTCAATGAAGAAATGCTAGCTGTGGACTACAACAATCAACTATATTTCGAAATATCAAATGAAGAATTCAAAGACTGCCTACAAACAAACAAACACAATTTTATATGTGCTCCCACTATGGTGAAGAAAATAGAAGAAAACAAAAATTGCATCATTGACGAAGTCTACAACAGAACAGAAATTAACCAATGCAATATACAACAACATGAGATTCAAGGATTAATTTGGAAGCAACTCTATGCCACCAATACTTGGATGTTCATCACTAATCAGTCCACACGTATCGCTATCTCCTGTAGTGGCGAACGACAGGAAATCACGATCAATGCCACTGGAATTATCAGGATGTCACAAGATTGCCTGTTGAAAACAAAGAAAAGTATACTCAATCCGAAACGGGATAAAAAGTTATCAGTACTAGGTAGCTACATAAAACAGTTTAACAAACCATATAATCATACAAGGTCAACTCAGCAAATAACCAAAGTAATAGAAGAATCAATATTCCATGCAGAAGACTCTTTTAAACAGCTAAAAGACGAAGAAGAAACTCTTAATGCAGATATTCGAAATATCAAATGGCGGTCCACAACATCACAGTCCATTATTACAAGCACGACAACTACCTTACTCATTGCAATTATCTTGGCACTCGTACTAGGAATAAGATTCTACATCCAGCACAGAAACAAATCACATACCAAGGACAACGATCGCGAAGCAGTTCAGTTAGAACCATTATATTCAACTATTCCCGGGGAAACACAAAACTAAAAGATAGATTAGGGCGCGGCTGGCAGAATGTTTAATATCACCATTAAACAGGAAAGGGCGCTGGCCAAATATTAGAGAAATAGTTAATTGGGAAAGAAAGTAGGATTAAGAAATAAAATTACATTGCATTATTTGTAAATGAGGACAATTTGCACACAACATTGACTAGGTTAGTTTTCAATTTGCAATTAACAGATTGCAATTAATTTGCCAATTGTTGTATAAAATTTTGTATATAAACAACGTAAAATGTAGAATAAATTACTATTGACACTAAAGTCGTTTAGTCACTCTACGTGAGCACGGGGCTTCCAAGTCTTTAAAATTCGGTGCATGAGACTGTGTACCACCCTGTGCTTACACTAAATAATATTGGGAGTAATCTCAATATTGTTCAGGTTTTAAAAGTTTAGTAAACAAAGAGGGTGCACAACTTAAGCCGAACGGCAGGCAAGTAAATTCATAAAGTGTATTATTAAATTTAAATCTCAAGTACTTTCTGTGAGCTCTGTGAATCGGTACCAGATAATACGCGTCTTTAAGGTCCAGTTTGGCCATAAAACAATTGGGTGTTAAAAGACTACTAGCTAATTTAATGTCCTCTAGCTTAAAGTGATCCAATCTTATAAATTTATTCAGTTGTTTTAAATTCAAAATTAATCTACTAGAACCATCAGGTTTAGGTACCAAAAAAATACTTGAAATAAACTGGCCAGGTGTATTCCTACATCTGTTTACAACTCCCTTGCTCCGCAAGGTATTAATCTGATTGGACAACTCGAACTTCTCAGTAATAGACCAGACCTTTTCAAGAGGAATTTTCCCTTGTCGTACTTTACTTGAAAAGGAAATTTTATAACCCTTAATCCAAGTTAAAATTCTCTTATTTTTGGTGATACTTGCCCATTGTTTTTCAAAGTACTTTAGTCGACCAGCTTAAATACTTACATCTAATAAGTGTGCCTCCGGCGATAATGTTTGCCGTTGGGTTGTCGTCTGTCTCTCTGGTTCTCCTTCTGGACTAAGTAACGACTGCGTGTGACAAAGGTGGTGCGCCCCCCTCCTCTCTTCGAAGACACTGTAAAATTCCGATTGTGAAGAGGAGCTCGAGAGGGGCGATTTGAGTTTAAAGGTTTAGAATTCTGCTGTGAATTCTGTTTAGAAGCCACAAGATCCTTCCCAATCTTTTCTAACGCCTGAATATTTCTAATCTGCTCCGATAAATTCTCGCCAAATAGCAACCCAGATATGGGAGAATTCTTGACAGCTTCGGTCACCGAAGGATTCAACTTCTGTAAAATAAGTGCTCTTCTTATGTTGCTTTCTCGAAAGAAAATATCCGCCACCAATTTACAGGCATCGGAAACAAGCTCAAAAATATTGTCGAACTGTGAGTTAATTTCCCCCGAAGACATAATCGTGAGCACTTTACCTAATGCAGCAAGCCCTGCTCGTAATTGGTCTTGCCCCAAGACCAACCTGTCATCCCTGTCAATCACGCTCTTAGATAAATTAAATTTCACCTCGGGATTCAGGACAGGTGGGTTTAATTCACAATTTGAAGGCCTGACATATTTAAGCAGATACTGCTTACGAACCTCCTCCGGAAGCCCATTTCTAGTTAATGCGAATAAAACGTCCGCAACTTCTTGCTGCATAGGCGCAACGCACTCCGGCTTATCTATCAAAAAATTTGACATGACCTCCACGCATTTCTTCTCAAGGTTAACTGTAGGTCGCGTAATTGAAATTCGAGGTGATAAATCAGGGGTCGCAAGACGTTCCGCGTCTGACCCACTAAACGTGCCTGCTAAAGAAGCAGAATCACTAGCGTCCGAGTCCGAAACTGGGACGCGTGAAGATGAAGGCCGAATATCAACCGGCGAACGGGATCTCGAGCGCTCCGCGCTGCTATGCAAATGGCGGCGGCCTTTGTATCTTACCCCGCGTTTATGAGACCGACCCGGCCTCGCTAAATCCCGTTTTACTTTACATCGTTTCAACCGTTTCTTAAGGCGTTTAATCTTCTCCCTTAAATTAACGTCACGTGAGGAGCCCTCACCGCTGCTGCTATCGGAAAAACCCATAAAACCTAAGATAAAAACTTTTACGTGTGTATCGCGCGTGCACACAAACAGTAATAATGAAGAGAGCAGGACGGTTACTTGGGGGACTGCGCATTGGCAGCGCGCGAAGTACAATCCCTTAAAAATTTTTTGTTCAGGGTGGGCTCTAAATGTGTGACTCGTGCACTCTAACGGTATACTACATTGTTTATATACTTCGAGTCGGCACTACACATAATTGCTTGTAGGTGAGCGCGCGTTACATTCAATAGTACTGAATGGACAGAATGTGCTTTCTCGCTCTCGGGTGCTCCTTGTCTAATAGGTCGCTACTCGTGCGACAGATTTCCGTGTGCTCTTAATGCTTCGCCGGCTCACCAGTCTTATACCACCGTGGTTGTAGCTATAAAGTACCAAAATATAAAATTTATGTACAATAAATAACCTACCAAGGTTAAAAATAACAAGTTTGTTAAGCCGCTTGCGTACAAAAGGTGAAGAGTGCACTTTCAAATTTGTTTTTTCGATTTTAATAGCCCTTATGAACATTTCATGCCTTAATGAGAAAACAAACATGAAATAATTTTTAATTTCTGACCGAATGACACCAATACCAAGCCTGTAAGTGGTGCAGTTCCGCAGCCTTTGTGACTCAGACAGCCAGACAAACATCAAGACGGCAAAAATGCACATTTTATTTTTTTAAAGTGAAAGTGCACTAAAAACCACAGGATGGCAAAATACTTAAATTTTAATTACCTTTTCAAAAAGTAATTCATTGCAAAATATTTAAAAATAAAAAACCAATAAATAATATACTTACTTTCTTGTGTTGGTTCGGTACGTCTATTCATATTACTTATAAATTGTTGAACCTCCACATTTGCAGGACTCGGATCATGTGTGTGATGATCTATTTCTTTAATCACAGATCCATTTAGAAGATGGATTCTAGCACGACATTTCCCAATTTGCTCACAAATCCAAAACTTCACTGTTTCATCATACTTACTAGTTTTTTCGTACCTATACATATAAATAATTTCCGTGATTAAACTTTTCGTGCCCTCTTTGAGTTAAGATATTATTATTATTCATATTTTATATTTATTCTTGGCCACGTCGGTAGTTCCTACACTCTGTTTGCATAGACACTAAACTAGTCACGGATAAAAATTATATTTCCACCCCAAAAGTAAAAGAACAACGGGAAGGTAATTAGGAGGGACATAACAACATCATTACCCATGGTACAGCCATTCTTTCATTGTATTTAGCTTGAATAGGTATTATACCTACCTAACTTGAGACATGCCTTTATATATATTTAGCTAAATAAAAACAAAATATTATATGAAATTAATGTATTCAAACTTACTGCCTGAGGGAATTTCTGTGTCTCCATCATGTTGATTATCACAAATGTAATCTGGATCATCGGCATCATCTATATCTAGTATACATTTTTCGTTAGATCTTAATTTGTAGAATTGCTTGATGATCGAGATCCGAATTGGAGAAGTCCCGTTGACGGTAAGATGGTAGGTCTTCCTTGTCTTGTATACAACTTATCACAGATGCATTTGTAATAGTACAACTTTCATTAATTTTGATAAACTGAGTTTCTGAATTCAGGCCTGCATTATTTACCTTCAGATTGCCACAACCGTTAACATTATTTTCGAAATCAGATATTTGAAGGGGGATTAACTCTTAATACGCCTGTCACATTTTCCTCTAAAGAGCCAACATATCGGTTATCCTCTGTATATATATCAATTGCCCTTACAGTGATGTATCTGGCGAGTCAAAAGAGTTGTTACTATCGTTCAACACCAATAATTGTTCTCGAATGTTGTTGTCTTCTTCTGTGTACGTTTCTGTGGGATCTGGGGATTTCATTGGATTACCAGATAACATGTCTGCGATTTGAGTTTTGGTTTCTTTATCATTGATCACAATTTCGTATATAGGTCGCGTTTGTCGCCCGGTTATTAAATTTATGGGCTTTACCACGCCACCAGTAGCATCAATTGATATGCAAGGGAATTTCGTATGTCTACCGTATGCGCGATAAATATTCAATTCGGAGGTAGTCCAGTACTGCACAAAAAAAGGATCGTAACCAATATCATGTACGACATCATTGACAGGATAGCTGCCCTTCGTTATCATAACCGCCTGGATTGGGTCTTTATGCAAAAACGTTTTCGCATTGCTTTTGCATTTTAGTACCCGCAAGGTATTTAATGATGTTAATGGACTTGGCTCTGGTTCACCAAATCTCATCATATTTGCTGCTTCGAAGCTTTCGAACACTTGGTGCTGGTATTTTCTCTTCGATCAGTCTTCTTTTGTAACATTCTGCAGTCTACCAGCTCTCGGGCATTAACGGACATGTAGCCTCTAGCCAAATTAGATACCGCCGTCTTATGGAAATTTCCGCGAAAAATGTCAGTTTTTCGGTTTCTAAGTTTCTGAAATGGCCGCTAGGGGCGTAACTGCAATCTGGAATCTAAAAAAGTGATGTTTCTGTGAATTTCGCTACATTAACCGAACAAAAAAATGTCCGGTGTTTGAAGTCGACGATAATCTGAACCTTTTTTGTTTGACAATTTTTGTTGTATCCCTAAAAATGAAGTGGTGGGTAGTATTCATAGGTTTCTTAGTTCAAAAGAGCTATTCTTCAGCTACAATATTTGCAGTTTTGTTAGTTTCACATATCACCGCTTGAGGGCTTTTTTCGACATTCCGACAGAAATGGTTAATTTTCTCAAAAAAAAAAATGAAATGCATTGGTGCCATTTTTTTTTCATTAAAAAGTAGCTAAATACAAATGATGCCTAAACAATCTCGTGAAAACCGCATATATATATATATATATATAGGGTGACAATTTGAAAACTTACCACCCCCCATATCTTAGTAAATAAACGAGATATTTAAAAAAATCAAAATCCGTTTCGGTAATTCGAAGGGGGAATCACAATGACATAGTTGGCGACGCACCCCCTCACACCCCCTGCGCCCTAGCCACCCCAACTTTTAAATCTTAAATAGGGACTCCCCATGTGTGATACGTCATTGGAAAGCTCTTAAAAAATGCTTTCCAACCATACCAAATAGCATTACATTTAGGTTAGTAATTATCGTGCGACTCACTTCCTCTTCGGAACCGCTCCAGTGGATCCTGAGGAGGGAGGAGGTACGTAACCCCCCCGCCTCGGTTGAGCTTGATCGAGCGCGCTAGAGGAGGTCGCCCCAATCTTAGATTGAGGCTTCACCCTCGGGGGAACGGCCGTAATCGCAGCCGTCTCCGTTTTAGCGGACTCGCCGGAGCGAGGAGATTTTTCCTCATCCGTGCGCGGACGCGAAGGAGAACCGGCACCAGTATTCGAAGTGACAGGGGATCTCCCCTGTCTCCCAGAACGCTGGCCCGGTGGCGCTGCGAACCAAGCGACTCCCGCAAGCTTCCTGCAACGAGGGATAGTCCTTCCGTCATCCCACTCACGTTCGAGGTACAAAGTGCCTCCCGGTGAATGGGGTTCGGGATCGACAGCCCAGAACTGCAGGCGAAACGTGTTACGGGGGGCCCCCTCATCGGAGGGACCCCTGACCACGACTCGGTGCGGACGCTTATTCGTCCTGGAGGGCCGGAAGTCAAACACCACATGGTGGACCCCGTCATGAGTGACGGGCGCGATCATCTCGGGTTTTAATCCGAGAAGACGCTCCTTCCACCAATTAAAGAAAGCGATAGCGCCTTCTGGTAGGTTTGACGAGGGGAGACGAATCTCTGCCACCTGGCAGGGAGACGATCCCTTCTGGCTCTCCGCCCGCTCTTTGCGAGCACGTGACGCGACCGTTGCCGAGGCATTATAGGCCGCGCGCGCCTTCTCCAACCATTCCTCCGCAGTTACCTCGAGGTGCCAGATTCTGTCGAAAACGGCAGGATCCATTGCACCTAGAAGAATCAGCGGTGGGATGGAGCGATCTAGAGACTGAATCTTTTCGAGAGATAGCTTAGCTACCTCCGTCTTGATCCAGGCCTCATCCACCTGGGAACGAAGGAGTAATCTCCTATCGTCTTTTCCTCGTCGCTAAATAGCGACTTGTAAGAGCGAAGACATTTGCTCAGGAATTTTTCTTGAGCAACCCGGAGTGGATCGACCGCCGGAGCTTTTGGTACCGCCGCAGCTACTGCGAGAGTTGAAGGAGGACTGTCCTTCTGTGACTCCTTTTTAGGGTTCACAGCAGCACTCCCCTTCCCCCCCGCGGCAGCAGCCGCTTTGGGCTTCCCTTTGGAGGCATCCGAAGTGGCAGGGGCAGCTTTGCCTTAGGCAAGGAGGATGGAGCTGCTTCAGCGAGTAAGGAGCTAGTCGCTCGACAAGCCCTTACCAAGTCGGTTACCACCGAGGCAGGTGGGTCGAACCGGGCCCTCTTTAAGGGGGAACGATGAAGGCCCAGGACCTGACCGGTTGCGTTCACGACTGCGAGAAAATCCGCAGAAGTGACGCGTGCCGAAACTCCCGGACACATAGTGTCCGCGAGTTTCAGGATATCGTTGCATTGAGATAATGTTATCTCATGTGCAACGGTTTGCCGGGAACTCGGTGCCGTCTGTTGACCAGAAGGAGAGGGAACTATTTCCTCTTCTCCCTGAGATCCAGGCGACAATGAACGCGGTGGCTCTTTGTGGGTCTCTCCGTTCATATTGACGAAAAAACGCTATATATATATATATATATATATATACATATATATGGTGAGTTTTTTTTTTCATTTTAAGCATTGGGATCTCGGAAACCATAAGACATACAGATTCGGTTAAATGAGGAAAGAGTGGTCGTTTTAAGAGCTTACTTAAGATATGCTTTTGTTATCCTTCTTTAAAAAACTCATGTCACTGGTCGCTTTTCGAATTTCGCGATTGGTTAGTTTGAACGATCTCGAACGATATCAGACGGACCGCGTTGATTTTACAAGTTCAAGTTCAATTTAACAAACAAGTGCAGTGCAGTCAGTGGTTTATTTACGAGTGCAGTGCTGA